CAGAAGTTGGCTGGTTTTGGTAGGCAGAAGACTGGTTTGCTAAATCACCATGGTGACCCCTGTCGTTTACATTTTTAAATGTTACTTTTGGGTCTTTTGCCAAATTCCATACTATTTGTAATTATTCGTAATTTCTTTCTTTAAAATTTGAGACAGTTTGTCTCCTTGCCAAAGGACCACCAATCATGAAATATTTCTCAAAAATTGCAGTTGGCACTGGAAAGAAATGCAAATTTGAATACCTGTATATGAGTGAAGCTGCTGCCTCCAAATGCCAGCATTGGTGTGCCATCCTGTTCAAGTCCTAGTTGCTCTATTTCTAGCAGCTTCCTGCTAATGTGCCTAGGAAAACAGCAGAATATGGCCCAAGTACTGGGACCCCCGCCAACCATATGGAAGTCAGAATGGAGTTCCAGGCTTCTAGCTTTGGTCTAGTTAAGGCAGAGATTCTGTGGGCACTTAGGGAGTGAAATGGTAGAGAGAAGATAGTTCCATCTGATAGTCTGCCTTATAAATATAGAAAGATTTTAAAGTCTATGTATGAATTGTATAACCCCCTTAAATTAGTAAGACAGCATTATTTGCAGACTGGAGAAGCATGAATATACATGTATGTTTTACAGTTATAAATTGGTACTTTTTTGCTAGCAACCTGAGATTTTAAGTTTAGGGGAAAACATGTATACTAAAATTATATTAAAGACACATTGAATGGTTTTTACTAATTTTCTTCTTTCTTTTTTCTTTTGGGGCACCGTTTAGCCATGGATGTGTAAGGAATATTATAGACTTCTTTGAATTTCGATGCTGTGGCCTCTTTCGTCCTGTTATCGTGGACTGGACCAGACAGTATACAATAGAGTATGATCAGATATCAGGATCTGGGTACCAGCTTGTGTAGCAGCATCTTTCTCCTGGGAAGCAAACCTGCTGAGTGGTGCCTGACAGTTGTGTCTGTCCGTGTCTCTCTCACACTCGAATCCACATTCTTTGAACAAATAATAGCATGCTATGTGTAGGGCTAACAGTGAATTTTACAGGCTTTTTTTTTTTTTCAACATTTTTATTAACAAAAGTTAACATGGACAGAATACACTGCGACTTCTGGGAAGAATAAAGATCATAAAAAGAATTTTAGTGGTTCTTAATGTGGGAATTCTCAACTTCTTGGTTTTTGTTTTTATAACATTTTTCACCAAAAGAGCAAACTTACTTCATTGATAGATGTGATATACTGATCAGAAATTTTCAGTTCTAACTAAATTTAAATTTGTTATATGACTAAATCCTATGATGCAGTATATGAAAGATATTGCATCTAATTCCAGAATTGTCTTGATTGAGTAGTATTATGTACATTTCAGAATGTACATGTAAATACTGTGATGAAAATCATGTGATTTCATTAGGAATCTACTGTAATGTGTCTAAAAAGGCTCGAGAAAATAATGTTCACCAAAAAGTGCTAATAATATTTTGTTTCAGCTGTTGCAATGCTGATATATTTCTAGTTCAGTGAAATAATTTGTAGTAACCTTGCTCTGGGTTTTATGGCCTGGTAATAAAGCACTTGCATGAGAAATAGTAAGTCATACTATTTTGTTCAAATTTAAAAGCCCTACTAAGTGCATGATACACAGCATAGAATGTGTACTGATACTACCCATTGAAGCATAAATTAGAATTTATTTTGATGTGCAGTCTGGTTTTTAAGAATTGAGGTGGTGGATTCAAGAAAAGGCAGAATGTGTTATAAAATTTCAAGACAAATAAGCTTTTAAAGTTCTGAACTGCGAAGTAAGAGTTTAGCTAACGATGGAGCATGATCTCTGTATATAGCACATATGAATAAAAGAATGATACATTCTGGTTTTTAAAAAATGATCTTCAAGAAAGCAGAATTTAATCCCAAGAATGATTTCAGTATTCCCAAATGTTCAAAATCTTTAAAAATTTACTAATGCTATTTGAAGCAGTTTCAAAGATTTTCTTACTGTTAAATGTGATGCACTGATTAATTTTTGTTACAGCATTTCCATTCACTCATGGTGAGCTACTAGTCACTGCCTCCATATTGTTTACAGAAGGAGACTTGGTTTAGTCCTCTTTAAAGCTGTAGCAAACTGTGGTTCGAGCAACCTGTGGGCAACCTGTGAGAGGGAGTGGTGGGGAAGGCGGGAGGTGGGGAGGTGGGAGAAGGGTGGTCAGACCGATGAAAGATCCTAGACCAATGTAAAGAATGTGTATCTGTATATAAATAATTTATCAAATAGTTTCCTCTTCGTGTTCGTGTTAGTGTTTTTAAAGCTGCTCATTTCATTTTATCCAACCAAAAAGGAAAAGGGAGATAACTAATGAGCTTCTAGTGTGTTCAATATTGCTGTTAATAGGCATTATACCCTGCAAGTTCACTGCATGTCTGATACTTGGTAAAATTAGTATTTCCTGTATAATTCAGATTACAGGCATTAAAGCAATCTAGTGGTATACCCGCCCCTTGCCTTAGTAAGAGGAGCAGTGAAAATGTATATATTTGATGTTCAGTATTTCCAAGTACTACCATTTTTATATAGTAGTTCTGTTGCCCATTTCACACATCAAAGATTACTCTTAGTGTATTTGAGTGTTTTAATATTAGAAATTTGGCATGTCCTTTATTTTTGAAAAGGGAAAAGACTGGGTGTGGAGTGGCAATGGTGTTGTATCATTTTATCATAGAATGTAAAAAGTTGGTTAGCTTTAAAAATGTCTCTGCTAGTTTTGACTAATTGGGGAAAATTTTAGAGGATTTTTAAATTCAGAGTTATTTATAAAATGCTAGGATTTGTTTTAATTTTTTGTACTTTAAGCCACTTCACATGAAAACTCAGTTGCAGTTTTTATCTAATACATTTTTGTCAACAGTTGAAAACTGGTATTTTTTTTTCATCGTTTGGGTAAGAATGTTGTTACCAAGCATTCTGGTGGTGCAAAAGACATATCTTTTCAGTTAGACGAAAAAAAAAAAAAAAAAACTAATGATGCTTTACATAGCAATGTACATGCTAACCATGTTATCCCAACAGAGACGCCTGTAACTCAGAAATGGCCAGGTGGTCAGGAGCCAGTGAGGCAGCAGTGTACCTGAAGGTCTAAATATTTTGTAGGTCCTGGGTGTGGAACCAGCTTGATCTGCTTCTAAAGTTGTATGTGAAGGTGAACTTTTGGGAATAGTTCTGATCAGCTTAATTGGATACTTGTAATAGGAACTCAGTTCTCCACTCCAAAAATTCCTTTTGGAGGTTTTTTTTTATTCATATTTTTGTTTCCAGAGATTTCTTTGAAATAATTATTAAATGTAAGCAGCATTATACTTAAACAATGGAATTTTAATTTTGTATTTTATTTATAAATGTGCCAAGTATTATTTTGCTACTTATTGTGTTACTTTGTGGAAAGAAAAACCTGTAAAGTGTTTAATAAATTAGTTCTCCTTACATAAATTAAATTTGTCAAAATTTTGTAAAATATTAATCAGAATAAATATTGACTCTTAAGTGTGTGCTTGTTTTAATTTCATTAACTTCTTCAAGAAATTGATGAAACTGTGAGAGTGGTACCAAGATATGAAAAGGTTATTCTGAATAGTGGTATCCTGGTCTGCAGGAGTCAAGTGGCATAACTATTGGAATTCACAAAATGAAAAAAGGTGGTGTTACTCTTCTAAAAATTTCCGATTCTGAAATGTCTAAATCTGTATGAATTTGTAGATAAGATTTTTTTAAATAATGAGTACAGTTTTTAAGAAATTTGGATCCTGTGGAGTGATTGTGTGAATGCAAATATGTCTAAACATGCTTTAGTAAACATTTAAAAATTAGTTACTTTAGGAAGGTATTGTGGCTTCCCTTATTTGGGAAAGCTGCTTTATGTGGGAGAATTTTAAAGCAAAACTTAGGAAGAGGTGGTTAGGTTATTTATGGATTGGTAACTTAGTGACCTTTATTCAAAGGAATGGGAATTAGGATTCTTACCATTGTCAGAATCTATGGACACGGTTTAGTAAAACTACCACACAGATTAGAGGTTACTCTGCAGCTCTTCAGTTTAATCTTTCCTTGCCAGTTAACTTTTTTCCAGGCTGCTTATTAACTAAAAGGCCCTTCCCTCACAGTTGACTGGCAGGCTTTAGACACCAATAGTTGCTCAAAGCTATGATGTAAAAGTTTTCACCCAGTATATCATCAGTCAACTCCTCACTAAATGCTCAGTGGTTGATGTCATATGTAACCCCTGTTCACTTTTCAGAACAGGTAGTGTGTGAAATGGCCTTTGGAAAAAATTTGTGTTCGCAGAGGGGGTTGTGTTGGAAAAAATTTGTGTTTGCAGTTTTACTAATCAACAGACCAATTTCATACCCTTCACCTTGCGGTGGAGATAATGAAAACATTCCTTTTGGTCTACAGCTCCTCACTGGTAAGTCCAGACAATGGAATATTCTTTACATAGAATTGAAATACATGAACAATGCATCAGCTTCTAGGACTTTGGCAGCCACCTTCTCACAGATCAGAGCCATTTAAAAGAGGAGCTATATGCACATTCCACACGTTTCTGCCCAAGCAAGGTCAGTGCGACTTTAGGCAACTTATTAAAAGGTCTTCTATGGCCCTGCCCCCAAGATTCTGCTTCTGAGGGCCCTTCCTAACTGCACGTTAATTGGCATGGCACTGCCTTAGATTTTCCATCATTTGTTAATACTCTAGGTAATTCTAACACAGAGTATAAGTTGTACTTCAGTAAACTGCTCTGAAGAAAAACTGCAACAACAATGGTGGACAGCTCTTACAAGCCAGCAGGGCAATGCTGTTGCCTAGCAACTCTCCTGAGACACCTGCAAGGTTAGTAGAACACCATCCTTTCACCACCTCGAGTACAAACAGTCAGAGGTCAGCTGGGTAATGGGGTTGATTCTTGTAACAAATGAGACAGAACTTCCCCTAATAAGTCACACATCCATATCAAGGCGAAATTTTATTGAAAATAAGGGAATAGTTCTTAAAATTGGTCAATAAAGCAAAATGATACATTGCTTTCTTACAAGGAGCCATCCTAAGTACAGGGCAATACTTAATACTGGTAGATTCTCACAGTGGTTTAGTGTTAGATTATTTGTGTATAGATTTCTATGAAGAGATTCTTGGTGTGTATTGCTTGGTTCTGTGCTTGCAACATTACTGAGCATGAACAAGGGCTCCTGCTCCTTGACCATAGCCAAATCCCTTGGGCCCAAAGTTCTTTGCATAACATCCTAGAAAAGAAAAAGGAGAATTAGCGCAAGTCTATTAAGCTTTGCTACCCTTGACTAGGTCAAAAAGTTCGATTTATCTAAGATATAAAATGAGCTTTTAAGTATCTGCAAGTTATGAAAACAAGTTCAAGGGACTATTTCCACAATGCTCAGGCTGATGGTCCCTTTGTGTAGCAAGCATAAAAGACTGGGTAGGTTATACTCATATGCTTAACTTAAGTGATGAAGTTATCTGATTTTTTATTTATGAACAGTTTTAAGTGGCAGTAATAGGCACTGCCTTAGATTTCCCATCATTTGTAAACATCTCTGGCTTTTAAGACTGAGTTATTTACAGGTCTTCTATCTGTAGGTTCACTTCTCCAAAAGACCCACAACAGCCGGAGCTGAGAAAGGCTAAAATTGGAGGCTAAGAAATGCCATCTGCATCTCCAATGTGGCTGTCGGGGAATCAAGAAATTGTGTTACTGGTGCTTCCCAGATGTGTAAGATATGAATTAGAGCCTGCGACTAAAACTCACAAATGGGATTTGAACATCTCAAGCAGTGGCTTAACGTGCTGCACCACAGTATCTACCCCTAAATCCTTTATTTTCTAATAGCCAATAACATGGTTTCTTTTCCTAATTTTTGGAGTAGTACTTTTGCCTAATGCTTGTGGAATCTGATAGACCTATAGCCATTGAGAGGTGTTCATGTGGTGATCAATGGTGTAGTTTACCTTTACAATAGATTTCACCTTCCTTCTCGGTCAGAGTTGTTGATTCAAGACTCTTGCCACACTTTGCACATCGGAAACAGTTTTTGTGCCAGGGCTAGAAACAAGATGTGGTAGCACACTTAGCGGCCTGTTTCCTGCAGTATTTCACAATTTATTTGAGCAGTTATGGGGAGAGGGCACTGATAGGCTGGTTCACACTCCCCAGTAACTGGCGCAGGAACAGTCCAAGGCCAGGAGGCGGGAATTCCTTCTGGCCTCCCACACGAGTGGCCCTCTTTTACTGCTTTTGCACGTAGGTAGGGGGCTGGGTGGGAAGCAGGACAGCTGGGACTCAAACCAGTATAGGATACTGGTATAGCTGGCAGCAGTTTGGCTATTTGCATCACAAGACCAGCTCCCTGTAGTATAACTCAGAAGTTTTGATAAATGACAGGGAGTACCAACCCAATGCAAGTTCCTGACTACTGGGGTCAGGAAACAATTAGAAGTGAGACCCTCTTTTTTGGGGTCTTCATTCTAGGCCACTTACAAAAGGTATAAGCTTCATTCCATAGGCTGGGGAATGTCACACAACCCTAGACCTTGCCTCAAAGCCAGTGCGACACTCTAAAGACTGCCCACTTACTTTCCTGGGTGACAAACATTGTAGTTCCAAGAGGATACAGGGTGACTGTTCAAAGACCACATGCCAGATGAACAGCCTACACTGCATACTAACGCGCATATTCCATGTGGGCTTCTAACAGTTTAGCTTATGACAAACTTCCTTTAAATGTCAGAAGTCATTTACTGTTACTCAATATAATATTTTACCTTTCCAGCTCCAATTATCTTCTCAGCAGCATACACAGAATCCCCACATCTGGAGCACTTGTCAGCACCTCCATATTTCTGGGCAAACTTGGAAGTATTTGGGTTTGTTGTAGGTCTGTGAGGTTGAATGCTTGTGGAAACAGGGAAAAAATTTTTTTTTCCAAAATGCCTTTAAGTCCACAAGGAAGGAATGGCAGAACTGCAATGCTGTCTGAAAGTTAGAGGCTAGTGCAGATTAAAAGGAAAAATAGCAAATAGTTGCAGGTGCTAGCTCAAGATACTATAGCCTGTCTGCATGTACGCTCATTATTAAAGAAAGCCAGATGAAAATCTTAGAGCTTGCCACAGCTGTCTGAGTCTGAACAACTCATTTAAATCCCAAAATGTTAAATACTGAGATTTTAGGCATCTATTACAGTGCATTTACCCCAGATTGATATTAACACCATTGGCATCACAGCTAGCCTTTCACAGTTATCCAATTCTGCAAATAAGTCAACTGTCTTAAGCAGTCAATAACTAGGGAAGCTAAATCTGCTTTAGATTGCTTACTTTCTCAGTAAGCTTTGAATAGTAGGAAGTAAGTAAACTTTGCTTAAGGGAAAATACGTTAGGACACTTGCCTAGTGTATCTGTTCAGCTTTCCTCTGGATACAGTAATATTTTTTTTTATCACTATTCAAATCTCTGGGTAAACTGCAGTTGTCATCATAGCAGGAATTTTTTCCATATTCACTGAAGTAGGTTGTACCTACAATGTAAGCAACAAACCCCTGGGGAGGCAGGGGAGGACTTTAAAGGCCTTTTTACAATCTTATTAATTAAACACATAAGGTACAAAGTGACAGTTGATGCTTTGCTACAACATTCTTCCTAGTGGAAAAAATGTGTTCCAAAATTGTAATTTTAGAATATTTCTTCATAAAACAGTTAACTCTAGTGCTGTCTCATACATTTTCAGCATGTTCACCTCTACTATTGTATTATACTCTTTTGGTTTTTTTGAACCATTTATTCTTACTACCAATACCAGTCCAAAGTAGTACTTCAGATTTCTCCAGGTGTCCTAATGTGAGCACAGTTTCCCAAATTCTCTACAACCTATAGATACTTAACTTTAAAAGTGATCTTTAAAAGCTTAGCTCTTAGCGTTACAAGATTCTCATGTAGAATTCCCAAATCCATCATTCATATCAACAAGAACTTGATTATCACCCATCCATCTTCAAAATACTGAAGCTTGTTACCTCTTACTACATATGAAGAAGTGGGGGCTCAGGTGTTAAATTGGTGAACCTGAGCTGAAAAATGTAGGTCCACTTCAGTGAAAATGTTCTTGCCCACTTAATGCTGCCTATCCAGAAAATGCTTGTCCACTTGTTTAGGATCCACAACTGTTATGAAAGCAGGTGCCAAAAGGGTGGTCCAGGCCAGTGTGCAGGGTCCTTAAGAAAGGCTTCTTGGAAAGCAAGTCTCAGTGTGGCCAATGTCACAGTAAGAAGAGCCCACAGGCATCACTTCAAATCCTCACTCTAGCTACCCTGCAGAATGAAATATTCAGTAGATAGGAGTCACTCCATGCATGATAATCATTACTCCAGTCAAGCTGTAACATGCCTTGTTTTAAGTCATGAGCTCTCAATTTAACCTGGTTAAAGCTCCAGGCTTTACGATGAACCAATACTGTGACTTTATGCAAGTGAATTATTCTGTGTTGCAATCTGCTCTTAAGTACGAAAGGAAACCTGATCTTGTAGGACTTCTAGCATAAATCTGACATGATTTATGGTATTGTTCAAGGAAAGGCCATTTCACTGGAGTATTACATCAATTTGGGCCTCTTAAAAAAATTAAGACAGAATTTTAAATAAATTATTTAACCTAAATGTGATAAATTTGAACAGACTTTGTGTTTTGATACTTTGTACCACAGCCTTAATTAAAGTTTAACAGTGTTCTCTCTCAAAACAAACCACAGTGAACAATTCCAATTCTTAATGTATTTGAGGAAAGCAATTTCTGGAGAAATAATTCTTACACAAAAGCAGGGAGAAATTTTAAGAGACTACTTACTTGCACATGAGAAAAAAACTATTCATACACATTTCTCCATGGCCAAATTTTGTAACATTTGGTCTCCAAAACTGTGTGAAATGCAAGTCAATTTAAATTGCTTTTGAGACCACAAGGTCTCCTTGATAGCTCTTGGAAAACTGTAAAGCCATAACTAGAAAACAGCAAATAGTAACTTTGCTGGGCCTCAAATCATCACATTTTGAACTTGGATAGTTGGTGATTTATGTTAGAAAATTTGAGTCATATTTTGTGAGCTAAAAGTCAGTTATAAATCTGGACTTCTTGTTCCTGCCACCAACTCAAACTGTTACAACTTATTTCTCATAGTGATAGATGCTCTCCTATCTTACCTCTCTGGCTTGATGCCCAGTCTCTCACCCCGGTCCATGTTCAGCGTACCAGCACCCTGGCCATAACCGTAGCCTTTGGGGCCATATTTCTTTCCATAGCAGGATTTGCAGTAGATCTCTTCATTGTGAATTGCCACTGTTGTGCTATCTAAGTTTTTCCTGCAAACCACTAAGGAAGGAGAAGTTAGGCTTCACATCTGTTTCAATGACGCTCTTTCTTACGCAGGGGGAGCACAGGCACAGTCTTAGTTTAGCTCTGTGGTTTCCCACAGCCACATCAGCATCTGGGCTGATAGCTGCATTTTGGCTCAGGAACATCCGAATATTAACATCCAGCAAACCTTCCAGAAGGGAGAGAAGTTCCAGACAGCTACAATTACATGAACAGAAAGAATAAAACAGTGTCTCACTCGTACCAGCAGCAGTGTTTTTGGTCTCTTTACCAGGCATTGTTAAACCATAACCTATCAGAGAAGGCTTATCTAAGTGCCCTGGAGGTCTTGCCTCTGTGGCCCATCCACCCAAAAAGCACGCTTCAGGAACAAAAACTAGAATCCTAGACATAAAAATTAATCTACAGTGGGGAAAGTAAGGTTTGTTCATCTCCCACAGATTTTTCCAACAGTGATAAGCATGTCTGAAATTCATCAAGGGATTTAAAGTTGACTTTTGTTTTCCCTTCCCAAAGGAGAATAATGCATTCTTTCTTGATGGATTTCTTACCACAAGACATTTCCATGGATCCCACTTCACAAAACTGCCAAATGTCATCATGTTTTATCCAGGCACTATTTCACTTTCTAAAACTTCAGTTAAGCTTAAGAAAAATAGTACAGCGTAAGCAAACCTACTGGTAGCATAGTCGGGCAACTGGACATCAAAGATGAGTGCAGTGAAAGAGATTTTTCTGTCCCTAATTAGGAGGGAGGAAAGCAAATTGGAAGAAAAATCAAGTTGGCTGACATAAAAGAAATCTGAAAGTATTGTATTGGAATGGAATCTTGGCTTCTGGAACTAACTATTGAGGCTCAAAAGTGCTGAATTTGCTTAAAGACATAAGTAGGTTAGAACTATACTATTGCCAAACTACAGATACCTCAGATACCTTTATTGGGCTAGAATAAATCTGAGTATAAAATTACTTTATAACAAGTTGTTAGCCAAGTCATGCTTGGGTATATGAAACTTATTCTATATAACCACCCATCTTCCCCCAGCTCCTCCCATTCTCTGTAGAAGTCACAGCCCACTCTGAATTCTCTCCTTCAAAGGCTTTAGTTAGCAGAGACAAATATTAAGAATTAGTACAAAACTTGGCATTTAGTAAATACTGACTTTAGGTTAAGCAACTGTTTTCAAAGTAGTTGTATTTCTGTTTGCTTTCTTGATTACAAAGTTGCTGAAAAATATTTAAGTAACAGAAAATTGGTTACACCAAATCTGAGGAACAGTAGCTATTATGGTATATTTATTTTCTCAGCATGCAATGTTTTGTTATCTATGAAACTAAAGAGTCCAGACAGCTCAAAATGGAGAGGGGGACACTGCAAGGTTTTCCTGAGGGTACTGGATTTCTAACAGTTCATCACTGTAACCACAATGTGAGTAAAGCAGGTATCTGCACTATGGGTGGCTTCCTCTGCCTAATCTCTCATCAAAGAAAACTGTTAATCATCTTGTGATTCGCATGGCAGGCTGCTCTCCTGCTGAGTGCCTAGTACAGTCAGGTATTTACTGTCTGCACCACACGGGCAGATAGAATTTCATGTCTGTCTATGCCAGATTGTCCACGTATATACTGCAGTACTTCCTAACTTGCTCCTGGGGCATATCTAACTCATGTCCCTCAATATAAATAGCCACAACTACGGACAATCACTGCCAGAGAAGATAAAATTTGACCTCAGGATAGTTCACTTTCAATTTATGAGTGCAGTAACAAGCAAGTCTTCAAAGAAGAATCAACTAGAGAAGAAAGCAAGAGTGTCATTTACTAAAAGCCTACAGCCACACCCTTAGAATGTGCCAGAAACTGTTGGTGAGTCTCAAGAAAGCAAAGGAGACAGATATAATAACTAAATGAATGCCAAATGGTAAGCTGAAGGCCAAGAGCTACAGGGACACAGAGTAAGGGCTCCCTCCTGTCCTGGCTGTTAGCCTCAGCACTCACTCCCATCTTAGAGGACTGACAAATAAAACCACTTGTGCATCTCAAAACCACTATCCATCTCCACTAGAAAAACTTCACTTCTTAAATCAGAAAATTGAAGCTTTTGACACATATTCTGTGAAAGTTGGAGCACAGAATGATACTTACTGCAAAGGAAGCAGCAGCGGTGGAAGCTCCTCCCATCACACTGCACCTCTTCTGCGTGGTACACGATCCTCCCGCAGGCCCCACACTTGTTTCCACCTCCCCAGACGGGCATGCTGTAGGGATGAAGGACTCATTAGAATGGTTTACTCTGACCACTCTTTACTGGCAAGCTCCCTAGAGGGCTGTGTAAATTTTGTGACAGCTGCAGATTTTCTTTATCAATCTCTTTAACCATATCTTTCAAAGGCCTGAGTTCCTCCACAATATAGCACTGTAGTGAGGAAATTGGCTTGTCATGCACTTCAACAGTACAGGTTACCAGGCAGAAAACAGACAGTAGAAAACAGGGGTTAAGAAATATGGGGAGTGAAAAGGCTTCCTAATACCCCAGTTGAACATTTTTTAAAGTAAGCAGAAGATCCTCACCTTGTGTCAAAGGTTTAATATTTAATTCATCGTTACAACACTGCACTAAATTCTTTAACATTTAACATTTAACATTTAACATAATACAGGCTATGACACACTTTCTAAGCAGAAAGAAAGAATGTTGCCCTGAAAGACGTTTTGTATTTGTCTTTTGAAGTAGTCTATAATTACTGCATAAGTAGTTGTGTCTGAGACTGGAATAAATGCAAGCATGAGTCTGCCATGACCACAATAAATAGAAACACATATGGTTGTGATTTAGTTCTCTGCTTCACTAAGCCTAAGGTCAAATAGTTTGTCCAACAATAGGATTTTCCTTTCACAGGTCTTTCGGGCCACGCAGAATACACTATGACATTCTTGGCACATGAGTTGAGTTGTTTGCAGCCTGTCTGACGTGATGGTTCAGTTGGCATTTACTTAGGCTGTCTTACTGACATAGGGCCCACGTTTTCCTCCCTTCTCAAAACACTGATCTACCTGGACAGAGTTTAAAATGCCTGCTTCTCATGGTCAGCATCCACAAGTGCCTCAGACAATATAGAAACCTGTTCTACTACTAAGCAAGCATGCAGTATATCAGCAAGCAAAATAACTCCTTTTGCCCTGCCATTTTCTTCCCTCTGGGAGTGATAACTGGCAGCCCCTTGCTCCTAAATAGCCGTAGGTTGCTGCTTGCCTCTCTAAGGAGACACTGGATTAAAAATAGTGAGACCTCTTTTCTAACAAAAAAAGGAAAGGAGTGCTGCCGAAGCAGCAAAGTACAAGAATCTCCAGTCCTTAAAATCAAAGGGTAGGTGGTGAATTCCCATACTGATTCATGGATAATCCAACACCCAACAATTTCCTGCATATTAACAAAAGGACATTTCAAAAGAAGACTCTAGAGAATTCACCACTGCCTCTTTGGGGAAGAGGTTCCTCATAATTTCTTCCACATAAACAACCGATTGCCCCTCTTTCACATTTTCTCTGAAGACACATACACACAGATGGGGAAGGGCAGAGGTATCTTCCATCTACTAGTTCACTCTCCAAATGTCTGTGTCTGCTAGAGATGGCTCAGGGTGACAGCCAGAGCGTGGAAGCTGTAGCTCCAGATGTGTGGGTGGAAGCCCATGTAGCTGAGCTGTCATCTGCCTCCAAGGAGTCACATCAGTACAGAGCTGGAATCGGGAGCCAGGGCTGTGATTTGAGCCCAGGCACTCCAGTGGAATTTGACATGGAGAAAGATGGAGAGCGAGTGTTCACATGAAGTTCAACCTGTAAACTACCACAACAGCTGGATGGGCTGGAGCTGAAGCCAGCAGGAACTCAATCCAGGTCAGCCATGTGAGTGGCATGAGAACCAATGACTTGAGTAGTGGAAATGTTTTGTTGAAGAATCAGTCCGTACTTAGAAGCCAAAACAAAACCAACAGTCGAACATAATTTTAAAAGCACCAGTTTATAACAAGTTATGACTCCATCAGTCTGTTATTTAAGTGTGCCGACATTGCTGGTACAGACAATGTCAGACAATCCAGCATCCCATTGTCTAGACATGTCCAACAGTTTTATTGGGAGTCCATCTTTGATTTGGAAGTAGGAATGTATATTCCATTGTATCTTCACATCTGGATATGGTAGTCTCTATTACTCCGCCACTATACAATCCCTTAAGTGAGAAGCCACGAAGTAAGATCAACAACTGATATGAAGTATACTATTGTAACAATATGGAGAAAATCAGTTGAGGCAGAACCTCCTTCCTTCCCTTTAGTCAATTCCAAAAGTAAAAATCATACTGCAAGCCCTTTCTGTAGTGTTGTTAATCCATTATACTAAACTCTTCCTATCTGGATCCACCTCCAAGCACAGCTGTATTGAAAACTACTTTCAACAGGAGCGCTGGAGCAGCCAAAGCACTCAAACCATAGCAGTCCCAGGCTGGATATGTGGCTTAGCCATGGGCAATAAGAGCACTGCCAAATCCCTCTTCTTGCAGCAACTGTTGGCAAAAAAGAATGAGCACACACCTAATCCAGTTCAATGAAAATGAAACTCCAAGGCCTGATTTAGAACTTTGTGAATACCAAAGTGGAGGAGCCAGTAGCTACCAACACTGTAAAAATGGCGCGTAAGAACAACAAAATGAACACTCTAAGAACTTAACAACGAAACCAACATAGAGAAAAACAAAGACAGGTTTAAGGTCGTTTGCGCTTAAATTCAGCTGTTCCTCATTTTATCCTACAGAGTTATATGAGCTAATAAATTCCTTCTAAAGGCATCATGGATTGGAGCTCCTGTTTCTTGAACAAAAACCATTAACACCCACACACAAAGACCTGAGAGATATGACTTGTTATCACTAACACAGTAACCACCTTCTTTTATACAGATACAAGCAAAGTCATTCAAGTAAAGTTCACACATGACTGTGAAGGCACGAACATAGGTTCACTACCTTCAACAGCCAGACAAAAAGCTTTATTCTGTAATTACATAAATTGTTTACTCCCTCCCCTGGAGACAGGTGTTCCATTGTTTAAATCCAGGGTGAAACATGAGCTTGACTATAAAACCCAAAACCCAAGACACACAGCTTTGGTTCCAGTAGCCTGCAATAGCTTGTTTGGAGTGTAATTAGTGATACAGACTTTGTCCCTTGCCTCCAAAGTTGCCAGAGTGCTGGAATCTCAGAGATATGACAGACCTCTGGCAATTTTGGGGAAAAACCGAAGTCCAACCCTGGCATTACAATTATTCATGTTGGATCCCAAACACGAGCTGCTCTCAAACGCCTCCACCTGCCAAGGCATGTCTGTGACTAAAGCATTTCAATGCATGAAAAACAAATCCACTGGGTTACTTTCATTCCACACATTATTTTGGAGCAATCATCAATAACGAGCTAGAATTCTATCAAGACTGAGGTCAGAGAAGGTTATCTCCAAGTAACTGTAAAAATACATGCTTTTTAAAAAGATTTTTACTGAAAAGACAGATTTATAGGGAGGAGAAACAGAAAAAAAATCTTCCATCCACCGACTTCACTCTCCATGTAGCCACAACGGCCAGAGCCACAACGATCCCAGAGCTATGCCGATCTGAAGCCAGGAGCCACGAGCTTCTTCCAGGTCTCCCATGCAGATGCAGGATCCCAAGGCTTTGGGCTTTGTCTTCGACTGCTTTCCCAGGCCACAAGCAGGGAGCTGGATGGGAAAGCAGGGCTGCCAAGATTAGAACCAGCGCCCACAGGGGATCCTGGTGCATGTGTTAACAACTTTAGTCACTAAGCTACCACACCAGACTCTAAAAATACATTCTTAAAAACATAATTAGTTGCTTTGTATTATTCTCTTCCATGCTTCTGAAGAGCAACATGGATTTGTTTGCTTTTTTAAAGGAGGACATATCTCCTCTATGTTATTCTGGGTTACATTAAAATCACTTGGTATAAGTCAACTCTGTTGTATGACACCAGCCCAATGTGTCAGAATGCAGGAAAGATTAAATTGCACAACATCCAATTTCCTGTTTTTAAGATTTATTTATCTTATTGGAAAGACAGATTCACAGAGAAGAGCCATAAAGATCTTCCATCTGCTGGTTCACTCCCCAAACGGTCACAATGACTGGAGCTATGCTAATCCAGGGGCAGCAGCCAGGAGCCTCTTCTGGGTCTCCCACACAGGAACAAGGTCATAAGGCTTTGAGGCCACCCTCTGTTGCTTTCCCAGGCTATAAGCAGGGAGCAAGACTGGAAGAGAAGCAGCCAGGACTTGAACTGGCACACATACGGGATGCAGGCGTTTGCAGAGGGAGGATAGGCAAATTTAGCTACCATGCCGGACCCTCAACTTCCTGTTTTAAGCTTCTGCTATTTGAGGAAGGGGATCACATCTGCAATCTTTACAACATCTACAAGAACAGTTAGCTATATTAAAGTTTTTAGAGTTTCACCTCGTTAAAAGTTTGTTGATTTTATTTTTTTAAAGACAAAGTGTCGGAGTTGGGGGGAGAGAGAAAAAGAAAGAATTCTCCCGTTCACTGTCCAAATAGCCCCAACAACAGGGTGTGAGCCAGGCCAGAGACAGAAACTCCTCTGTCCAGGTCTCACAGATGGGTGGCAGGGGTCCCAGAACTTGGCCACCCACTGCCTTCCCAGATGATTCAGTAGGAAGCTAAATCAGGGGCAGAGCTGTGTCAAAATGCCAATGCCAGGCTTTCCAAGGATTGTTTTTAGAAGATTCACTTCTTTGAAAGAGTTACACAGTGGGAAATACAAACAGAAAGAGATCTGCCATGTACCAGTTTGCTCCCAAAGACAGGAGCCTGTATCTCCATCGAGGTCTCCCGGGTTAACAGGGGCCCACCTATTTGGGCCCCATTAGTCAACTGCCTTTCCAAATTTATTAGCCTGGAACTGGATTGGAAGCAGAGCTCCTGGGACTCTAATTGGTGCTCTGATGTGGAATGCCTGCATCAGAGCCTATGCCTAGTATCTCCTGAGGGCTTCTTAATCACCTTTTCTGTGACATAAGCAAATAATATAAATAATGATGCTCAAAAAGAGCACCATTTAGGCTTTCTAAATTAGATTATGGACACTTGGGTTTCATTAATACTTTATCATTTGTGTGCCTGAAACATTTTATAATGGAACAAGGAGGGTGGGTAGGCTGACTGGTTTAGATAG